GATGCGTAAGCAGGGCGTAACATTATAGACACATTTTACCTGTGAGCTCCCTTCACACCGGGAGCGTTTCAGACATGAAAGAGCAGGAAAAGTATTTCACGCAGCGGGTCCTGTAAGGTCACAAAATCACTGATAAATTGCAACATTATGCATGAATTTGACAGTTCATGCCATAACAAGCAAAGAGAAATACGGCAGCATGTATCCAAAAAGGTATCGTAAATCCTCAGATACAGGCCCGGGCCTGTATTTGACTCAAGCTCATCAAGCTCCAGGCCTTTATTGGAAGGAGGGCCAGAATTGAAGGCAGGCCTCAATTTTTTTTGTTAAGCAAAATGAACTAATGGTTCGCTGGAGTTTTTGACAATTAAAATTGTGCCCACATTTTCAAAGTTAAACACATTTCTTTTAACAGCGGTAGTTTCTGCTTCAGCCCCCTCCCCCTGCGCAGCGGCCGCAAACTCACTGATGCGCCTGCAGCCTCTCGGAGTTCCTGCTGCTCTAAACATTAAAATAATTATTTCATTTTCTGTTCCTCACTTCTGATTACCTTCAATGGTGTCTGTTTGTTGCAACCACCAGGTACAAAAACTAACTTGTTTTTATTTGACTATTTTTCTGTCCTGCCTGTTTATTATCTTCCTGCATCTCTTCTCAGTCCTAAAGAAAAACTGCTACCTGGGTTCATATATATTCACCTTATGAGTTACCTTTGAACTGCAGTTCTAAAAGATCTACCGACCGCAAAAACAGCGGAGTCCGAGCTGCTCGCCGGCCACATCAGTGATCGGTGCATCACCGGAGGACAAGGTGATGCGCCCGGATCCACAGCAGCGAAACGCATCAGGCACAAATAAAAGAATCAAAGACAGAAAACATAAAAGGAAATGAGCCGACATGAACGATCGCGTGTTAAATTTGTTTTTGAGGTGGTGACACCTGATTTGATAATGTTACTGTGGCCGTGCTCAGGACGCAGATGTCTGGAGCGCGTCAACAATCAGAGCTTTGCATGCGCAAGCTGGTTAAGGTTAGGATGGGGTGAGGGGAAGGTTAAATTGCAAGAGGGTAAAGGTCACAATTTGGTTAAATATCCGTTTTACGGCGGGTGTCAGTACCGACGCTCTGGCACAGCGCGTTGTCTCCCGACGCGCAGGAGCTTGTCACCTGCTAACAGCAGGCTGCTGTCTTTTCCGAGGGCTGCATCTTGCCGGTCATTATCACGTGACAGCGACTAGTCGATGACAGGCATAAAAAGTCACTATAGTGAAGTCGACTAGTTCATACAACCCCTACTGCTCCCCAGAGTGTTCTGCAGCATAATCAGCACGTTCTCTTTGAACTTCATATCAAATTTTCGCCTCCTCTTCTTCTCCGCACCTGCCATGGTTAAAGTTACCCTCGCGGTCTATCACTGGCAAATCAAAAGTGAGACGATGACACAACTGCCCCCCGTACTTGCTTATTACCACATTCCACCCGGCCACAATAAAAAACTGGCCATTATTCACCTCCGCCGACTCTGACACCGGCCAAAATGTGATACCCGGTCGTTAATTGAATACAGGCCAATGATAGAGGATTTACGGTATGTAGTATTTTTTTTTGTTCTGTTTACCTCAGCTGAGGTTTCACAGGTAATGACGTATGTTTCTACTAGCTTAGCAACTGGAAATTTGCATGTGACTTTAATTTTTAAAGTATACGTTTTACACTACTTTCATGTTTGACTTCCTGTCCTTTCATTGTTTTGAAACTTGGACTGCAGTAACCACATTTGACCACAGGATGTCATTCTTAATTCATGCACATTTAACATGAAATAAAGACATTCTAAAGTTAATTTGCAAAGTAATTCTTGATCAAAATTACTAAATTTCATTTTGACTGATAATAAAAGATATTTTTTATGATTATGTTTTACCAATGAACTCTTCAAACGTCAAACATCCTAGAGATTAAATAAGGATTGGTCAAACTGATCCCAGAATCCTACAATCAAATCTAGAAAACAAACCATAATGTAATTAGAGCTGGAACCAGAAAAGTCTCAGATCCCAATCAATGCCAGACTAATGTGTAATTAGTTGCTCTTTTGCCAGGAGCTCAGCAGGAAATCTCAAACCAATCTGATGTTTCACTGGAAAGATGAGCAGCTGACAAGTCAACAGGACTCAGCCTGGTTCCTGTGGTGCTGATGAATCTGTGGGTTTCTGCCCATCGCTGAGCATACACATACAAGAGGATCAAAGGCTTTAGCGTTTTAGGTCAATTGTCTTTTTGCAGAATGTTTAAAGTTTGGTGCACTTTGTTATGATCAATTTTAAATTAGATGATTACTTTAAACACTGATACCCCCCAATAAGAGGCCAAGGTTTTTAAATTTAGCTACTCCAATTATTTTAATCCCAGGGTCCTTCTAGACAAACAAATGCTCTGTGTTATGAGCAGCAACAGGGGATGGTTCTTAGCTCAGCCTCAGATTGAAGCAGTGACTGTG